CACAGCTCCAGCTTAACCCAGACAGGAAAATGAGCATATTCCTTATGATCAGAAAGAATTCTTTTGTCATTAAAATAAAACAAAACCCTTTGCCCTTGTGTCGATTCCAACTCATAGTTCACCTAGTAGAACTGCCGCATAGGGTTTCCAAGGAACTGGTGAATTCCAATTGCCAACCTTTTTTGGTTATCAGCCGAACCCTTAACCACTGTGCCACCAGGGCTTTGGTAAATTGATAGTTTTTATAGCACGACAAGAGACCAAGTCATTATTTAAAACTCACTGCTGTCAAGTTGATTCTGACTCATAGCGATCCTATAGGACAGAGTAGAATTGCCCCATAGGATTTCCAAGGCTGTGAAACTTTACGGAAATAAACTGCCACATCTTTCTCCCACGAAGGGGCTGGTGGGTTTGAACTGCTGACTTTTCAGTTAGCGGCCACGTGCTTTAACCACTACACCACCAGGGCTCCTAAGTCACATTACCCGGGCGGAAACATTTAAATCATCTGAAGACAGTGTTTCTGTTCTGAAGGAAAGTTTGAGTCGACTGCTAGAGATTTTAAGTCTCACTCACCAGACAGCAAGGATTAGGTTTGATGTGAACTGACAGTTTCCACCCTCGGGGTGGATAGATGAGATCAGGAAATGTACAGGAGGAGAGCTTGTCAAGGAAATTCAAGAAGCAGAGATGATAGGTTCTAAAGGGAATTCTAACCTGGTCCCCAGATTGAATCATAAATACTTATATTTTGTGTATTTACACAACTGTGTGGAAGATAAGGAGGAAGAAGCAAAAGAGAGAAAAAGTACAGAGTGTGAGAGGAAAAAATATCAGAAGACTCATAAAACTCTGACTTGTCCAGCTCATCATTGCTGATTTGTGAATAAAATTTTGGTGGTAACTGAAGGTTTTTTGAGACCCTCCTTTAATGGTGATGCACAGAACCTGAGTGTTGTATAGCATTAAAATCTCAGAAATTGTAGGAAACAGCTGTCATAACAAACAATAGAAATGCATTCTCCATCTCTGAACTGGCTGCAGCAGTCCAGTCCTAGGCAAGATGAGTCTATATGTGGTTCTTACAATTCTCTTGTAAAAAGAGACACCTGGTAAGAAATGAGTTATTGGAGGGTGTGAATTTGTAAGGAGTATGAAATGGAATATATAGCTATAAAGGGATTTTTTTTCTTCTAGAACCA